TCGCCTTATACACAACAGACATAAAAAACGTAGTTCAGTACTCCAAATATCACCTTTATGCCGATGACACTCAATTGTACGTCCATATGTCACCAACAAAAGACAGTATTACAACAGCGGTTACCAGCTTAAATAATGATCTAAAATTAATAGAGCATTGGTCAAAGTCTCATGGCTTGCTTTTGAATCCCAAAAAAAGTACATGTATAATTATGGGTACACGTCATCAGGTTGCATCTATCAAAAAAATGACCCAACTGTCATGATTAATGACGCAACCATTCCTAGAAATAATTGCATTCGTAACTTGGGCCTTAATATGGATGAAGTTTAACGTTTGTACAACACGTACAACAAAAAATAGGAAAATGTTTTGGGTCTTTAAAATCTCTTTACAAAATTCGTTCTTTTCTGAAACCAAACATCCGATTCCGTCTTTGTAATAGTCTTGTCATGTCACATTTGCATTTTTGCGACTTGGTATATGGTCCTTGTCTCTCACAGAAAACCATAGGGAGAATACAAAGGGTTCAAAATGCGTGTATGCGCTATTGTATTGACATACCTAGGACTAACCACATAACTCCTTATCTCCTCAAAAATAATATTTTAAGTATGAGTTACACCAGAAAATTAAAACATGCTTGTTTCGTACACTCATTAAATAATTCGCAATGTCCTCATTATTTATATGAAAAATTATCTCCAAAATGTCGACTAACACGTTTAAGACGAAGGGGTAAACTATTATATATACTTTCAACTTATAAGCGTGTTAAAGCAAAAGGATGTTTCAAATATGCTGCCTCCAAAATTTGGAACAATCTACCTCCTCCCTTGCAGGAGAACGTAAATACAAATTTCTTTAGAAAGAAATGTAAAGTATGTTGAACAACAAAAGTTGGAGGCAGGTATGAAGTATTCTAAATAACTACAGACTTAATTCTTACTAATGCCATTGAGAGTCGTTGAAGTTTCTGGTAGGCCCAGAGGCGATTATCTCCTTTACCTACTACTTACTAAATTTGCATAGCACATATGAATAAACATTTTAGTCTATTCTTTAGTTGTATTACATCAATGCCAAAATTAGGTTAATATACTGTGTTTTTAAAATAGTCGGCTGTGGCAAAATACCAGCGGTGACCTAAAATCACCACATAGCTGAGTCACAGGCCAGTTTGTCTCATTACTGTATGTTTCTAAGTTAAGTTTGTGATGATTTCTATTTGTATTTTTTAATAACATGTGTAAACTGAGACAAATAAAAAGCTTATTATTATTATAATTATTATTATTATTATAAAAGTCAGTAAACCTATTTAAAAAATTTGACGTTTATCATAACTATAATTGAATAAAAAGTCCATATCAATGTCCTGCTTCTTTTATTTTAATTAAAATTTAAGTACCGGAAGCTTACCACACCTTCATTATCGCTTTATTTCCTTTGTCTTATAGCTTATTTACGATACGCCTTTTCTTTCTCATTCGTTCATCGATATATTTTATCGACTACGATTAAGCACTAGAAATAGAGTGGACTTCTACGAATTTTGTATCTGTGTTTATATTAGCGTAATAAAATCTTCGTGCGTGTTATTCTCCACTTGGTTGAATGAGTTTTCATATATCATTGTGTTTTATGTCGGTTCCAGTAGTTAATTCGTTCAAGTGAAAAATTTACTATGTAGTATTATTGTAATATCATATATCAAATATTTTACTTCATTTTAAAGTGGCTCTGCCTTTGTGGCAAATAATGTTGTGGATGTCCTTAACAAAAAAATTTTATGTATTATTATTGTAAAATCATATATCAAAAATTTACTTCATTTTAAAAGTGGCGCCGCCTTTGTGGCAAAAAATGTTGTGGGTGTCCTTAACGAAAAAATTACTATGTATTATTATTGTAATATCATTTATCAAATATTTTACTTCATTTTAAAGTGACCCTGCCTTTGTGGCAAATAATGTTGTGGATGTCCCTAACGAAAAAAATACTATGTATTATTATTGTAATATCATATATCAAATATTTTATTTCATTTTAAAGTGGCCCTGCCTTTGTGGCAAATAATGTTGTGGATGTCCTTAACGAAAAAATTACTATGTATTATTATTGTAATATCATATATCAAATATTTTGCTTCATTTTAAAGTGGCCCTGCCTTTGTGGCAAATAATGTTGTGGATGTCCTTAACGAAAAAATTACTATGTATTATTATTGTAATATCATATATCAATGTGTGTATTTAAAGAGAGATTATCACCAGTTTTAAAAAATTAAAGGCAACATTTTCGACGTGATTGATACATTAAACAAAAGAAACTTTGGATCAGAAGAATAGTGAATGAGGTTTTCAAAAATTGGGACCATAAGAATTATACGTACTTTAATAAATTTATAGTTAGATTAGTAACAAAAAAATGGCCATTGTATCTTATACTTTTCTATAGGATAGGGTGGCAAACGAGAACACAGTCCACCTGATGGGATGTGGTTGCCGCGAACCACAGACATCTAAATCTATCCTCGATTACAAATCAAAACGCAGATGCGTTGTCACCCATGAGGACTAAGGAATGCCTCTTTTCCAGTAAAAAGAGTCTCCGGTTCTCTATACTCACCATATTATACGCTGGTATTCTGTGAGAACGTGGTCCTTCCCCGATAGAGCCGATCTATTCGTGCTACAACTATACTACTAATATAACTCTAGAGCCATTACCACGTTTATATAAGTATCCGCTAATACTACGCAACCTAAGTTCAATCCTCGCCGAAATCACAAAAAGCGTTAATAAAAATTGGTTTACCACGTTTTCAGTTGTGAAAAAAGACATTGTGATCAAACCTAAATTTTAATAATTGTAAGAAAATAAATAAATTCGTTAATTCTCAGTTAGTCAGAGTGGTGAACTATTCTCTTTTCTAAAAAAATCTCTCAGAAATATGTAGGCGTCAGTGCCCAGCTGTGGGACTTTTAAACGCTGTTAGATTTAGTTGAAATAGAATGTCTTAACTTTTACCCATATCAAGCTAACGCAACAGATTGGCACTATTAAAAAAAAAACTTAAATATTTGATTTTCTTATTGGCATGCCAGCTCTATATTATGTCCTTACGGGTATAATATATTTAAGAATTTAAGAACTATACAGAATAGAATAGAATCATTTTCATCTATTCACATGTATGTAATTCTTATTGAAAGTAATTTTTTACTTTACCACTAGTTCGGAAAATAGCCTCTATGTTGGGAAGAACCAGCAAGAAACCTAGCGGGAAACCTATGAAAGGTTGTGTAAACTATTAATAATATTAAAATTTGTTTCAGAAACAACTTGCAAGCGACCACCACATTCCTAGGGGTTATTATCAACTGTATATTCATTTATATTACAATAACCCTTTTTATACATTTTTTGTTTATTAAAAATTTAAACTTGGTAATAGAAAGACCTTGTATATTTTCTGGGACTTTGTTGTAATAGCATATACATTGCCTCAAGAATGATTTACTGACTCTGTATAGTCGAGAAACTGGTATCACTAGCTTGTGTTTGTTCCTAGTGCTTCAGAGTGTATATCACTTTTGTTAACTAAAGCTACATTCGTTTTGTGAAAGTACATTATAAAATTAAGTTAAAATATGTAATAAATTTTGCATTATTATATAAACCCTTTTCAATGTAAACGAGGCATCTGCATTATGATTTTTAATTGAAGATAAATGTAGGTGTCTATGGGCCACAGCATCCAATCACCATCGGGTGGACTGTGTGATCGTTTTTCAATCACATTCTATATTAAAAAAACCCATTAGTATATGAGCTATTCCACCTCTAAATAACAAAGACCAACACCATTGATGAAGGCTCATCTACGGGAAATAATTTTTTACAGATTTTATACCAGAAAAATACACCCATGCAAAAAGCATTACATTTGCACAACACATCTATCGTAAACAATGATTAACTATTGTAAGTTTTTTTTTCAAACTAGAAAGTATAGATGGATTAAGGTGAAATAAACATTTATGAGGAAATATAAATCATTAATAGGATATTTACCTAATTTAATTACGATTTCTGAGATGAGATTAAAAAGCACTGGATGACTCAACGCTACCATTTAACGAATTCGTACCTGTACTTTTTACCCATACTTCATGACCATACTTCGTACCTATACTCCAAAATATTAAATAAAACTTTTGATAGAATAAACTGGTTTTTATAAAAAATAGACAAAATGTAACTAGAAGATACGCTTTTCTAAAAATTGTAGAAATATTTTTAATTACTTATTTTTAGTCCCTCTAAATTACTTTTGTTAGAAAAACATAAAGTGTGAACGAAGAGATATGGATAATGATGTACTTTCTGGAAATACTAGGAACAAGCACTAGACAATACCAGTTACTCGACTCCAAAGTGTCGGTAATCCCTTCACGGGGCGATGTATATGCTTTTTCAACAAAGACCTAGAAAATATCCATAGATATTTTCTAACAAAAAGATTAAAATTTATATTAAGCAAAAATTGTTCTGTAAGGTTGTATAATAGCCCCTGGGAATGAAGTAATTGCAACCATGATACTTTTAAACGTTTTTATACTTATTTGTGTTAAATATTATACTATAAATTATATATATTTCCGAACCAGTGGTACAGTTTAAATCTTGAATCTTCTTGAGTAAAATGCCAATTGACAATTTCATTGGTTCCAGCGGGGATCAAACCCGCTTGTTCGCGTACTGTGAAATTTACAGCGAGTGATAACCGTTCAAACTACCACGTTATGTTGGGACTAGTAAAGTGTAATTTTAAAAATAATAGTTGTGATTAAGGAATACGCAAAAATGCAATAAATACTTAAGAAATGCTTTATTTAACAACTGTTCATTTCTATTACATGTTTATTATTATTTTTTCAATAGTAGCTTAAGCATAGCATCTATATTTATTTAAAATATGCGATTAGATAAATTAACGTGAGCGAGATCCAACAGGGTAATAACCATTCTCATTGGCAATGTAGTCTACTCTGTAATTGACACCATCAGGGGCCAAATATTGGTAGAATCCTTTAGCCCTAACTCCTTCTCTCTCGTTGTCAATCCGCTCGAGCTTACCCATTTCTTCAGCCAAAATTTTGTTCTCAGTCTCATAAAGGTAGTGATAGCCATCAGGAAGAACTTCAGTCTCTTGACGAATAATATTAAAGTTATGGTTATAACGACCGTCGTTAAAGGTATTTACAACTGGAGTAAATTGTTTAAAGGGCTTGTACACGTAGTCAGGAGAAGGATTGGGGATAAAAGTAGTCCCAAAGCTGGGTGAAGTACTAACAGGATTTACGGTCGAACCATAAACAAGAGAGGTTGGGCTCGGGGCTGCACTTGAAGTTGAGATTGGGGCTTTGCTGGGAGAAGATGCCGGTAATTCACTTGGAGATGAACTGAGAGCCGCGCTGGGAGTTACAGTAGTTACTTCACTTGTAGATTGGCTAAGCCCTGCGGAGGTAGTTAGAAGGGGTACTTCATTCAGAACAGGGTTTAAAGAAACACTAGATGAAGGATTCGACTCGGGTACAATAGTAACCGAAAAATTTGGACTAACGGTGGCAGTGCTCACTGCTGGTGAGATAGTTTTAGCTTTTTCGGCTACGTATGAACCATCTGCAGTACCGCGATTTATGCTGCAAAAAAAATTTTTTATATCACGTTCACATAATTTAGTTTTTGATGAGAAATTTAAGTCGATATAATCAATATATTATGGTAATAAAAAACGTAACATACTGTAAATTACGTGTGAGGATTATGCAAATGAAAATTTCTTACAAAAAGAAAGCTTTAAAGTTGAATCCATAAATCTGTTACGCTCTACTTAGCGTTTTAGTTTATATAAAAAGCTAACAAATTATTCATGGCTATGGAATTGAGTGATCGTAATAATGGTATTGATCTCGGCGATTCGCATTTCGTCAGTTCTAATAAAGTGTAGTGAAAAAATACTGTTTTTGTTGCAATCCAAAATGCCGACCAATAGGCAACTCTGTAGACAATTTTTTTTATATAGAAAGAAGAGTATTGCGTTCTTATATTATATTTCAATTATTCATATTATGGAGGTTTGATTTTATTTTATTTTCTTTTTTATACTGTCCTGTTATATTTTGAATTTAGATGTGATACAAGAAACATCAACATCATTGAAATGGTAATATAAAGTGGACAGCGCAGAGTCTCAATAACGACTTGCAGTGCTCAGGGTTGCGGGTTCGAAGCCCAGACTTCATTCAGGTTAATTATTCAATTTTAAAAAAAATTGTGGAATTTGGAGCGCTTTGATATTGAAATCAGAACTTTTTTTAAATTTCAGATATGCATTTTCCTCAAAAAATTATTCTTCTCCGTCAAAAACGAAGTGTCTGGAATGTATTTTCCACTGTATAAGTCCTTTTTAATTTATTAAACATAAACAACTATCGCTTACTTATTTAATAATATATTAATATTAATCTAGTCGGATGTAAACCGAAGTATTTTAACCTTACTCTCTAAATATCCTCCTGAAACTCATCTACCCGATTAACAGCGGAATGAGAATATGCTGCAGGGTAACAATCTAAAATCTTATAGACTGGTCATGAGGAGTATATCGAATCAACTAGCCTGTCCAGCATGGGCATGGTTTTTAGCAAAAACTTGAAAGAGCTATTTTCCAGTAACGTCTAAAAATTTTGATAAAGACGAAAATAATTACTTAAGCAGTAAATTGATTCATAAAAAAATATATACTTGTAAAATCCTGATGTTTGTGGAGCATTATAAGCGCCGAGATTATATCGTCCAAAGTCACCGAATCTACCAGAAGTGTATCGTCCAAAGTTATCGTATCTTCCAAATTTGTCGTATCTTTGAAGGTTGTCATATCGTCCAGAGTTGTCATATCTTCCAAAGTTGTCGTATCTTCCAAAGTTGTCGTATCTTCCAAAGTTGTCGTATCTTCCAAAATTATCGTATCTTCCGTTGTTATCGTATCTACCGAAGTTGTTATATGCACCAGGGTAGTAACGATTAGGATCGTAAGATCCGAAAGACGCCGAAGAGGATGCAAAATTGTATCTGGGTGTAGTTGTGACAAACTGAGATGGCGTTGGTCTGTAATTATAAAATAAATATTTATATTCATAAACATCACAAATATTAATCTTAAAGGCAAACAATGAAAGAGCATAACTAAGTGAGTTATGTTCTTTCATTATGCCTTACCACCTTAGCCGCCCGTGAAAATTATTGCTATAATAATAAAATAAACCTCTCACTTCTTAAATCACCTTATATCATCTCGTACCTTTGACGGTGCTTTCCAAAGCTGTTTTATCTGGTAGTTTTAAAACTTGCTTATTTAAGTTAGATACACGGTAGTGTATCTAACTTGTAACTAATTTATGAACTCACCTGTCATCACCATTATTGTCTGGAGTGTATTTTCCACTGTCATCAGCGTTGTTAACGTTGGTGCCTTGTGGGGTGGTACTGTAGGAGTCTAGCCCTGGGCTGTAAATATAATTTAAATGCAATAAGATTGATGTTACTCAAAACACTCTTGCAGTATATTTTGACTAAATGGTTATGATTAGTTAATAGGTAAAAATGTCGACCTAATTCAGATCAGACAATTAACAATAAAATAATCTTAAAATGCAAACATTGAAAGAGACTCACTTAGTTGTATCAGTTTCAGCTGCAAAGGAAAGCGCCACAGATAAGCACAGTACCTATTAACACAAATTAACAAGTTTTACTAATAACTTTTTAATTTTAATATAAATCAAAAAAAGATGGTAATGGCATATATCATATTATTTATATAGTACGTGGATGACAGTTAAGACAATTAGTTTAATTTAATTTTTCATGTTTTTAAAAAATACTAAAAAAAGGGCTCGAAATAATAAATTTTCTCACAAAATAAGGGAACAAAAAAAGTCGGACCGAAGATATCTGCCTTCTAACCGGGGTACCATGATTTCGGGACCGCCCGATATCCCATTTGAGCTATTATAAACCTTTAGATAGCGGCGAAATTTTCCTTCGTATTCTAATAATATTGTAGCAGTTTTTCATTGTCTGCAAACACAGATAAAATGACATTTTCTAAAAACGAATCCTAGCTAGATAGATTTACTGCCCCCCGAAACCACCACACAAAATTTCATGAAAATTGTTGGAGCCGGTTCCGAGATTAAAATGATATATATATATATATATATATATATATAAATATTTATACAAAAATTGCTCATTTGAAGGTATTAGATTAATATATGAACGATGACAGAGCTCGGTATTTTTTTCGGAAAATATATTTAGATACAAATTACATACTGATGAAATATGAATAATGTTTTTCTATCTTACAGACATAATAAAAAAACTGAACTGATTATTTAAATAAAAAATTATGAGTGCAATTAGTTTAATTTAATTTTTCATATTTTTAAAAAATACTAAAAAAAGGGCTCGAAATAATAGATTTTCTCACAACACGGATAAAATGACATTTTCTAAAAAGGAATCCTAGCTAGATAGATTTATTGCCCCCGAAACCGAAACCACCTGCACACTAAATTTTATGAAAATTGTTGGAGCCGGTTCCGAGATTCCCATTATATATTATATATATATATATATATATATATATATATATATATATATATATATATATATATATATATATATATTATAAATATTTATACAAAAATTGCTCCTTTTGAAGCATATTACGCGCACTTACAAGTATGCTATTTGGCATAGTTAAAGTTTTATAGAGGAGGAGTGCATAAAGCTAAAACTTATTTAAAATATGTGTCACAAATTTGGTACATAAGCACTACGATTTAGACTAAAAAGGCAAAAAAAAAACATTTATTTTATAATTTGCATTAATATGCAGTTGAAAGTTAAGTACAACTTTTTACAAACATAAGAATTTAAGGAACTACGGTATTATTTTGACACTAGTACATATTAAAAGTTAATTATGTTACCTCATCAATAACAGATATCACTTAGATGACTTAATACGTACCAAAATTATCCGCATTTTGTTATTATCAATTGAGCCAAACTTTATTAATGTGACGCTTTTGAGATCGGTGCCTATTTATACCCTATTTCTGTCTTATAATTAATGTCATATAATTTATGTCCAGTTTTACATAATTATAATTTTAAAAATGATTCGTTATTCATCGCCAGAGATTCTCAATCTTATCATAATTAGTTTATTTTACTTGCGTTTAAACATAAACTTGTGAACTTTTACTTCGAAGTGCAAAATATTTAATTTAATATTGTAAAATAGACATACCTACAGGTTACGAAATTTATAAGTGAGTTAGGGTAAGATCGGTGATGGGACAAGACGGTAAGATTTAAATATCTGGCAATTCATATTATATTTTTAAATGCTATCAATTAGGTACTCGACACGGTAATTAGGACGCGTGCTGCGCGGCATTTTATTATACAAGGTAGTTTTTAGCATTTTTTTGTCCATCCGGTCTTTCCGTATCAATTTTATTTGTGAGTTTTAGTAAGAGCTCACAAAGCTCTTTTGTTATTATTTTCTCTAAATACTAAATGTTGTGAAGTTTCCATACAAAACTGATCCAAACAGGGCTAAATAGATATTTAGCCGCGAGTGTGAAGATCGGATGTATATTATCCGATTTTTACCCATTTCATATAGGTTGTGGTTGTCAAACTTTCATTTGTCGTGTATAAACTTTTAGAGATTGCTCAAATGAATATGAGGCTCAGTATCGCTATTCAATTTGTTGTGCATTAATGCCTAATTTCTGTGATGTTTTATTACTTTTAAATACACATTAAAACATTTATCATTTTTCGCAATTCGCATCAATATGGTGGTGAATGATGATGCTGCTAACTTCCATTTCACGGAAATATTTCACTTTATTAGAGGATACCACCATAGTTATTTATTAATTCAATGGCTTTCAACAATTGATAATTACAAAACTTATTAGAACTAATTTTCAGAACGTCAAGATCGGTCTGATTTTGATGGGACTTACTAATTATTAAACATATGAACCTATATATTTTGTGAGATGTCGATATATTTGCACTGGCTTATGCTGTGATGCACATAAACTTTATGTATACCTTACTAAAAAGAGTTAACAAATTATTAAGTGGTCTCTGAGGAGGAAGTTTTTACAGACAGACATACTCGCTGACAAACCACAAGGTTAACATTAATTTTGGCTCCAAATATTATGATGTTAAAAAAGCGAACTCCATGCTAGCAAGCGGCGGGAAAAAAACAATTTAAAAAAAGGGAAGTCACAAAAAGTAAGTGGATAATGCAGCTCATTGACACCTGCAACTAACTTCAAACCAAGGAGGTTACACATGCGTTATACCTCTGAGTCTGTCTATAATTACACTGTCTCTCTATAACCTTCAGTCCAAAACACAGTAGCACTGCTGCTTGGCGACAGAAATAGGTAATTAATTTGTACATATCCACGGTATATATTATTTGTATAATCTATTGCTTTACTTTTTTTATAGGAGACATCTTGGAATTATGTAAAACGAGAGATAATGAGAGAAAAGAAATTTTGCAGCCGCAGTAACTGATTGGATCATATTTTGAATAAGAGTTCATCTTGTAGATTTACCTTTTAACTGTTTTGGATATTCTCGCTACAGATTTTATCTCATAGAAAAACCCTGAGCAATTACTTCATAAGTGCCTCCGAGCTTTCTAATTAGAGCTAGTAATGAAGGACCACGTCGCGTTTCTTAATTCTTCATCATTAGCAATGAGAACTGATTGTATTTTTTAAATAATTAGGGAGGAAACGAGCACACAATCGTCCGACAGTAAGTGGTATGGCCCATGGACATTTACTACTCTACTAAGAATCAAAATGCGGGTAGGGTGTCTCTTGAGTACTAAAATGGCCTCGTTATTGTTATATTTAAATCTAACAAATTGCAATGTAATTTCTAGTCTTTCTAATAATATTAAATCATTAGCCGTCTGCGTTGATAAAAACTAAAATTAGATTGAAAATATGTATATTATCTCAATAAACTTTAAACAACTTATGATATTTTTAAATACTCTAATAACTAGATTGATTGAAATTGCTAATAATATTAGTTCATCGATTTAATCATGTTTGAAATGAGAATCGATGAAACGTTAATTAAAAGTATATGGGCGACCGAGCCTCGGTTGGCGTTAAGGTTGATTCATGTATGAAGTAATCAAGTAATAAACTTAAATTTAACTTAGTTTTAACTGACATAACGCATTAAGGTTAACGCGTTAAGGTAAACAGTTAGAATAAAGTTTGGTTTATTTGGCTTAGAACAAAGTAGTTTTTGGAACACTGGGTACCAGGGCTGCGTAGGCCGATATGGTACTACTAGAATGATTTCTACTTTTTGATTAATATTTTTTGTATTAAAAAAAGTGAAAATGCGTAAAAGAATAACATAATATTTTTCCAGGGAATGGTAAAAGTGTCTAAAGCCCCGATATCTGGGTTATTTTTCCAAGCAATATATTTATGGTATTTAGTATTTCGTCTGCTAGCAAAAAGGTAAATATATCTGGGTATACGTAGCAAATAGTTAATGTATTAAATGCCTTATAATCGACCTGACAGCCCTAAAACGCGTGAAAAAATTTAATTTGTCATTTTGTGCGTTAACTAGGGGTATACATTTTACTTACAATAAGGACTATAGAAAAACGATTGTTAAAGAAGCGGAAAACATATTGAAAATATATTTATTTTATTCCAATAAACTGAATAACTTCAAAAATTAATAGAATTTATATCATGTTAAATAATTAAAAAATATTAAAATAATATTCAACTTATTAAATTAGTTAAAAAAACTTGTAAGAATCATCTCTCTCTTTCATCTATCCCTAAAAAAATATATAAAAATAATAAACTTATTATGATTTAGCTGCATGAGTTTTAAAAACATCATGAACTTAACTGAGAGTAGCCGAATACGCAGGAGATATTAATGTTCACAAAGTGTCTGAGGATACAGATGCACTCTCTATTCTCTCAATCTCGGCATGTTCTGAAAGCGGGGTGACCGATTCATGGACTGACCGCGGCAAGAGATCTATTCTATAACTATTAGGTACATAATATGTATGAAAAACAAAAAATAAACAATGCACAATTATAATCAAAGTAAGAGTCCTTTATTCAGACATTGATATAAAATGGTTAATATTACAGGTTAAAGTACCATCAGGTAAACATAGTTTTTTTTTTCAATTTAGCTTCTGTTTTTAATTGTCTCTATAATCTTGTATTTTTGCCTTCTTTGGCAAAGACCTCCTCCAATTGTTTTTACAAGGCTCTATTTCCAGCTGTTCTGGTCCATACGTTGCCAGCTACTGCTTTGATATAATCATCTTCTGAATGGTCTACCTCTTTTCCCTTTCTTGAATCTTGTGTACCAATACGTTATTATTTTTCCTCCATATGTCTGTTCCTCTAACCGTATGCCCTTTTCATCTCCTTTTAAGATTCTTTATTGTGACTGTCACATATTTTGTTCTTGTATATTTCTTTATATTTGTGGTTTTTACTCTGTCGGGTAATTATTTTCCCATCATTCTTCTTTCCATGGAGTTTTGACAAATTTCTAGTTTTCTAATATGAGTTTTGGTGAGGGCCAGGACTGCCAACCATGTATGAAGACAGGAAAAATACAACTGTCAAAGAGTTTGCGTTTGATTGTCATGCAAGTATCTTTGCTTTTCATTGTTTCCTTTAGCCTCCAGTACTGCTTCCAAACGTTTCCTTATTCAATATTATTGTTGTTTACATATATTGGTTTCTGTTTCCAATTTGTCATGACCCTAGTTTTTTGGGTGTTCTTTTTCAATCCCACCTTGTGATTCTCTCTATCTAATTCATTGAGCATTGCTTGAAGACCGTTACTTGATGGTAACAAGATAGCAGAGAGAGTCTTAAATTAGGAACAAAATTCTTATAGCTGAAGTCTTTATACATATGATGTTTAGCGTAGTAAAAAATAAGATAGCTATATTATTCTCACCTTCTTTCCTTTACAAGGTGGTTGCCATTTTTCCATTACATAGACACCACTGATGTACCATTAGCGAAACAAAAAACGTTGTCGATAAATTCATGTAGTACACCACTTAGTAAAATAAAGGTTTTCTATTAATCCAGTTTGTAATACTAATCTATATCGATAAAAGTTTATGGAAGCTTCATCTGAAAATTTACAACAAAACGTAGTCTAATAGTACAGAATTTCATATTATCGTTGCATAATTTGAAATATATCCTGTAAAGTTCTCTATGAAAACTACTTCCATTCAGCCAGTATATTTCTGCAAAATTATTCTTAGACTTGTATGAGTTTTACAAGGAATAATAACTGTGTTCGTTTAATCGACACTTGGTTTGTATTACGATACGTACACAGAGGGCACTGTTACGATAGTATTTTTAATAGAATATGGGTGCCAAACGAGCACATAGTCCACCTGATGGTAAGTGAATGCTGTAGCCCATAAACATCTACATTTACCCTCGATTAAGAACTAAAATGCAGATGCGTTGTCACTTCTGAGAACTAAGATGGAATGTCTCGTTTCTAGTAAAAAGGGTCACCGGCTCTCTACACTCAACACAAAAGCCCTAAGCTGCTATTTTACGCTGGTATTCTGTGGGAGCGTGGTCCTACCTCGGCTTAGCCGACCCATTTGTGCTACTACTACTCGTATTATAGCTGCAGCGTGGCTTCACCACGTAAAGTAGTATAGTGATATAACAGTGGCACGACCGTGGTCTGCGTGGTCTGCCTTCTCTTTTGTCGCTAGATCACTTCTACCAATAAACCGATTAAGAAAGTATTACCCGTTTTTCTATGTGCTCCCTCAAGATATTATCCATCATAATTATTTCTTATATTTACGCAAACACTACACATTGATTAAAACTACTTTTACGGATTTTATCGCGTTTAATTTTAATTTAATTTTTTTTTATTTAC